GCAGCCAGTAGCTGGCTAGTCTGTCATTTTTATAATGTACAACTACAGAATGTCACATGCAATGAGAGAACACGTTTAGGGCTGAAAATGCTTTCCAACTTAAGCAAGATATATTTATAGATCATCAAACAGAAGTAGCTTCCTATGAGCAGGAAAACTCTTCTGCCCCACAGCAGAAGCCCATTAACTAATATATACACCTCCTCCTTTCCTTCTTAAGTACAATAGTTTGGTTTAGATAAAGCATAATCTCTTGAAACAAAAGAGTCTCTTACTGGGTGTTCTATAAGCTGTACCAATTCTGTTCTGAGAAACATCAGAACTCTGTAGTGTGCTCCTGCCATGGCCAGACCTGACAGCAAAGTTTCGTTTTTAAAGTAAGTTCAAATGTTCTTCCATCACCTCAGTACCTTGCTTGTCTCTGGAAGCCAGGGGTATCTGTCTCAATAAATCCTACTTCACTTAATTCATTAAGTTTTTAACACACTACTATGGCTCAGCACTCTGCTGAATTCCATCTCAATACCGACCTGTCTCATAGTTGGAAGTGTTATCAATTCTACTTCAAATTCCTGGCTAAGCTAGATCAAGAACAAGACACTGAACACTAAACAAATGGCGTATTTATTTTCAATGGTTCAGGATAGCAAATTTATTAGGTAAATATTTTTCAGCAACAAACACACTTCCCAACTAAAAACTCACTAGTTTATAAAAAATTGTCAGGGTAGTACAATGATACAATTGATATTTTCTTCAAAATGATCTGGCTGGGTGAGGAGAACAGCAAGACAGAAAATAGAAAGATAGAAAGATAAGATAGAAAATAGAAGGTTGGTCATGGGTTTATTAAAGTTCTTTCCACTTCTGTAGATGTTTAGGATTTTTCATAAGACGCGCACGTGCACACACACACACCATCCACACACACTATCCATTTCCTAGCAAAATGCCTACCTTCTGAAAACTTCCCAACAATCTCCCATGTCTTTGAAATATGACTGTCTACTTCAGAAGTGCTGTTTCCAATGCTTCAAAAATGTCCTTACTCTGGTATATTTAAACTATTAACTGGGATACGATCCTAACAGACAGCTGAATGGGCACAATAAGGCATGCAGTTTTCAACTAATCCAGTTCTCTAGGGTCTTTTAAAGACATTTTGTAATAACATTATAGAAGCAAATGTGTGAGATGATTGATTACAACCAGAAGTTTTCTCAAAACAAACTCTACACCCTTTGAATAAATCTAGCTTCTAATCTGTCTTAGTGAAATGATGGGAGACTAGTAAAATGGGAGTAAAAGTTGTATTGTTCCTGCTTGCAGTGAGTAGGTACTCACAGTAAGCAGGAAAAATGATCAACACAGCTTACACATCATTCCAGAAATGAGGAAGGAGTCTAGAGATATATGCCAAGCAAACAATTCTCCCACTGCCTCTGCATTGATATCAGGATAGGGTAGAAAGGGGAAATAAAGCTAATGTGAGAGGAAACTATGCTCCCCAGTTCTCACCTTTTAAACTGGGAAGAAGCACAGCCTTCCCCTACCCCTCCCAAGTGAATATGAACAATTCTGCTGCTGCTAAGTCTCTTCAGTCGTGTCCGACTCTGTGTGATCCCATAGACGGCAGCCCACTAGGCTCCCCCGTCCCTGGGATTCTTCAGGCAAGACCACCAGAGTGGGTTGCCATTTCCTCCTCCAATGTGTGAAAGTGAAAAGTGAAAGTGAAGTCGCTCAGTTGTGTCTGACTCTTAGCGACCCCATGGACCGCAACCCACCAGGCGCCTCCATCCATGGGATTTTCCAGGCAAGAGTGCTGGAGTGGGGTGCCACTGCCTTCTCAGATGAACAATTCTAGTTTCACCTAAATACACTTCTGCCACTATCAGACAGCTATTTGAAAAGTCAAGGGCAGTAAAATGCTATGTCTATTGAAAGACATTAACCTATTGGAGCAAGTTACTGTAACAAAAGACCTTAGTTTTCCTTTCATTTCTCAGGACATTACAAAAATGACATTACGCCTATACTCTTAAAGGTTAAACACTAGATGCTGACACAGATTGAAGAGCTTACTGTTTCTACCTCCCTTACTTTTGAAGGACTTTTCAAAAAGTCACCTACTGTATTCTTTAAGGACTGTGATTATTCAATCTCATGAAAACTAAACCTTGTTAACAGCTGCTACCAAAGGATTAGCATTAGAACATCAGAATTCAGAAATTTGGTATTGAAGTATTCCTTACTTTTTGGAAGTTCACTTTATGACACTTCACTTTTTCTAACAACGAACCTTAGTACCTGTGTTCACTAAGTGAAATACAAAGAGAATTTACAATTTTATGACAAGTGAAAATTGCATGTTTTTAAATTGTTTTTTGAAAAGTGTATCTGTTTTTGGCACTGAGCTATTATAGTGGCAGTGAGCACCCTAAGCAGCAAGAGCGGCACCGTCAAGGCCGAGTTCATCCTCCACCAAGCTCCTGAGAACCTCAGCTCCAAGCTGCCACAGCTTTGAATTATGTCTCTGAGCATCCGTGCTTTACCTTGACTTATCCTGTGCATTTGTTAGCAAGGCATGTCCTCAAGTAATTACTTCTTTCAGCGTAGGAAAGGTTTGATAGGAATGCTCTAGTTTCAGAAAGCAGGGAAAACCTTCTCATTACCATTCAAGGTGACAAATTTCAACTCTAGATTCTGAGCAAGCAAAAACTTGCCTGACAACCATGGTCATTCCATTCAAAACAAAAAATACACAGTAAACACCCATTATGGAGAGAACTTACTCCTACTGAGCTAAAGAAAGCACACCACGTGGCACAAAAATGACCCCAGATACAAGATCTAAACAGCCTAAGCATATTTTCCATCAGCCAGAAAAATTAACACTACATCTAGAAGCAAGAGAGAATTAACGTTTACTCAGTGCCTACCAAGTGTCAGCCAACTCTGCTTAATGCTTCATATATTATCTCCTTTAAAGGGCAAAATAATGCCTGAGATAGCTTCCCGTAGTAATACTAAGATTGGGATAGGGGGCCTGGGCGTGGGTTGATTAAAAAACTGGTTTATGTTCACAAATAGAAACTGTCAAGGCAACAGTATAGATCCAGGTCTGTCTGATCCTAAACTCCTGGGAACCAAACTACTCCATTATCGTGGAAATCTTTGAGAAACTCAACAGAAATAAAGCAACATTTCAAATGGAAATAAAATGGGCAAGTTCAGCTTTCTACTACTCAAAGATCAACTTCAAAGTTTAAGTAAAAGAAATAGGCTATTTGTATAAAACAAATTCTGCACTGAAAGAGTGTGAAGACAAGATAACCTTTATGTAACACTTACCTTTAAGTAAGATTTACAACTCCTATACCTCCAAAATTAGTTACAAGTGGTCAGAATTCTCTTTATCAGGACAGACACCATTTAGATACAATAATTTCAGTCAGGCTTCTTCCTATCAGTCTAGACTACTTCATTCAAACTTCATTTTCTGGTAATTCCTGATTCTCTAGTCACTTCTTCTCACTTATTCCCAATTTTCCTAACAAATGTCTTAACTCCTACATCTACTATGCATAGAAGTGAAAGGACAAATCTGAACTAAAGGCTCAAAACACAAAATCTGCTATAGGTAGGTAACTAATATTTTGCAATTAGGCTGACAACACAATCCATTCCCTGTCTACACAACATGTAAATGAAACAAAAATTTAAATATCTTCACAATAGTGTTACTTCTTAATTAACCCCAAGGTTTGAAAAGCTCACATCATCCCTGAATCTCAGGCTGTTCAATGAATTGGGACATCCGCCTCATCAGACAAAAGTAAAATCTAAACAAAAGCAGTATGGACACAAAGTTCATAACGATTATCTAGCTTAAATTTTTTTTAACCCAAGCGGAAAGATTTGTAGGGTTTGTTATCATGGGCTGGGGGTAGAAGTCAGAAGAATAAACCATTCACTAAATGAATCAAAACCATAGAAAACCATTTCCCAACTCATATTAAATTTTATCTTCACGGAAATAAAGATTTTGAGAACTTCGTTAATAAGAGGCTTAACATTCTGCACTTAGATTTGTAGCTACTAGAAAAACAAAAACAAACGCAGCAGTCATAATGTCATCTGAAGCCATATGCTGAGTCCCCAGGAGGTCTCAAAAACAAACGAAATATACAAAGCATAGGACAAACACAACAAACACCGGCTCCTTGGCCTTCTCCAACCACGAAATCAGTATTTCCTTACGGGTTGCCGTACAGATGAATAACCCACTCTATCAGAGCTCCATTTTTCAAGTCGCTGTGTGGACTAACCAGGTTTCTGACCACTAAGGTAGCGATCTCAGTCCTCAATTCGTCCTTTTACCACAGCGAGGGAGAAGGGGGTAAAAAGTATTTCACTTGTGTGGGGGTAAAAAAAGGTGGCCAAAACTACACCACAATATTTCACACATTTAACAGCTCTAACAAACTCTACCAGCGGGCCTTTGGGGCTGCAGACGAGCTACCAGTCCGAGGGACGCCTGAGCTCGAAAAGGCAAGAGGGTTAGGAGATGCACATCTGGGATGAGCCAGGGGGCCCCAACCTCATCCTCCCTTTGGGGCTGCAGGCGAGCTACCAGCCCGAGGGACGCGTTACGAGACGCCCCATCTGGGAAGAGCCAGGGGCCCTGCTCTCGCTTCCCGGTCTCAGCCCCGCGCAGTGCGCACGTGGGCCGGCCCAGCCGCGGCTGTCACCGCCTGTCGCCGGCTGGCGGGGGATCCGGGCAGGAGCAGACCCTCTAAGAGGGGCTGGGGCCCGCCACTCGGCAGGCAGACTCTGCAGACCACGCCGCCCAACTCCGGCCCTCTGGCCAGCGGAACAGGGCACCGCCGGGCCCTGCGCTCGCGTCCCCACACGGCCCGCAGGCCCGGGCGGCGCCCCGGGCCCCGCGTCCGACCTCCAGCCCCAAGGCGGGCACCCCGGCCCACCCCGCGCGGACCCACCTTGACGTCCTCGTCCTCGTCCTCGCCCTCCCAGCGGTCCCCGCCGGCCGTGCCGCCGCCCCCCACCTTCCGCACCGGGTCTTCCACTGAGAACGTGTCCGCGTCTGCGGGAAGAGAGCCGCGTTAATGACAGTCTGAGGCCAGCGCCGGCCCGGCCCGATCCCCGAGCCTCTCCTCACCCCAGGAGTCGGAGTCCCCAGCCGCCGCCGCCATATCGAGCCGGGCGTGAGCGTGTATGAGGGAAGACGGGGGAGAGTTAGCGCGGCGGAGGTGAGTCACCGGATCCCCGCTCGTCGCTCGCGCGGGGAACGCTGGGACCGCGGCTGACTCAACGCCGAGGCCCCGCCCCCTCGGCGGCCGGAAGGGGCGTGGGGAGAGGCGGGCGCGCGGGGCGTTCCGCGCTCCATTCGGCGCCTAAGGGGTCCGGCCGGCCAGTGCGGCAGGGGGAAGGGAGGGGTGGGCAGAGCCGGCCCCCACGCTCGCGCACCCCAGGAAGGAACAGGGAGTACGGTGATCGTGGCAGTACCTTGTCTAGCGCTTGGCTGTCGCCTGCCCTCTGCCTTCCTCCCCGGCCACCCGGAGCCCGCCCCTAGCGGCGCGGCGCGCCCTCTGCTCGCGTGGACCCCGCCCCGGGGCGCCGGCGACCGCGGCAGACAGTCCGCACGCCGCGCCCGGCTGTGGGCGGCGGACTGATCTCCGCGTCCCAGGGGCGCGCGGTAGCGCGCTGGGCGAGGTGGGCCTCTGAACCCCGAAGGGCGCAGGGCGCCGGGAGAAGCGAGCGGAGAGCACCGAGTTCCTGGCAGCCTCCCAGCCAGACAGCTCAGATTTAGCTCCCGGCACGTTTGCCTCCAGAGCATCACGAAGGGATCGAAGGGAACCCCGGGGCCCGAGGACCTTCCCTTCTGTGAGCCCCCTGAACCCAGCACACGATTCATTCTTTCGCAGAATGATTTCGGAACTCAGTCTGAGTCTAGCCTTACCCTCAAGGAGCGCACAATCAAGCGGCGGAAACAGACACGGAAACAGATTTCGACACAGTGCAATGACTGCAACAAAAAGAAGCGTTTTCAGGTTAAATTCAAAAGGGTTATGATAACCGCGGAGGGGAGCGGTAGGGTATTTGAAAGGCTTCCAGAAAGTGAGCGCTGCAGTAAGGAGTTTAAAAGACCAAGTGAAATTTGCTCCAGTGCGTTTCCGGTAGAAGGCACGCAGGCAGAAGGTGCTCCCTGATATGACTGGCAACTGGAGATAAGCTGAGCAGGTAAACTGATAATAATAAAGGGCTTAAGATGGGCTATCAGGGAAGCACAGTAGTGTTGAAGAAGCTGAAGTTTGAACGGTTCTGTAAAGACATATAAGACCTTCTAGAACTAACACCCCCAAAAAGATGTGCTTTTCATTATAGGGGACTGGAATGCAAAAGTAGGAAGTCAAGAAACACCTGAAGTAACAGGCAAATTTGGCCTTGGAGTACAGAAGGAAGCAGGGCAAAGGCTAACAGTTTTTCCAAGAGAATGCACTGGTCATAGCAAACACCCTCTTCCGACAATACAAGAGAAGACTCTACACGTGGACATCACCAGATGGTCAACACCGAAATCAGCTTGATTATATTCTTTGTAGCCAAAGATGGAGAAGCTCTATATAGTCAGCAAAAACAAGACCGGGAGCCAACTGTGGTTCAGATCATGAACTCCTTATTGCCAAATTCAGACTTAAATTGAAGAAAGTAGGGAAAACCACTAGATCATTCAGGTATGACCTGAATCAAATCCCTTCCGGTTAAACAGTGGAAGTGAGAAATAGATTTAAGCGGCTAGATCTGATAGAGTGCCTGATGAACTGCGGGCAGAGGTTCGTGACATTGTACAGGAGACGGATCAAGACCATCCCCAAGAAAAAAGACATGCAAAAAACCAAAATGGCTGAGTTGGCCTTACAAATAGCTGTGAAAAGAAGCGAAAAGCAAAGGAGAAAAGGAAAGAAATACCCATTTGAATGCAGAGTTCCAAAGAATAGCAAGAAGAGATAAGAAAGCCTTCCTCAGTGATCAATGCAAAGAAATAGAGAAAAACAATAGAATGGGGAAGACTAGAGAGCTCTTCAAGAAAATTAGAGATACCAAGGAACATTTCATGCAAAGATGCGCTCAATAAAGGACAGAAATGGTATGGACCTAACAGAAGCAGAATATATTAAGAAAAGGTGGGAAGAATACACAGAAGAACTATACAAAAAAGATCTTCACAACCCAGATAATCTTGATGGTGTGATCACTCACCTAGAGCCAGACATCTGGAATGTGAAGTCAAGTGAGCCTTAGGAAGCATCACTTATGAACAAAGGTAGTAGAGGTGATGGAATTCCAGTTGAGCTATTTCAAAGCCTAAAAGATGATGCTGTGAAAGTGCTGCTCTCAATATGCCAGCATATTTGAAAAACCCAGCAGTGTCCACAGGACTGAAAAAGGTCAGTTTTCATTCCAATCCCAAAGAAAGGCAATGCCAAAGAATGCTCAAGCTACTGCACAATTGCACTCATCTCACATGCTAGTAAAGTAATCCTCAAAATTCTCCAAGCCAGGCTTCAACAGTACATGAACCATGAACTTCCAGATGTTCAAGCTGGTTTTAGAAAAGGCAGAGGAACCAGAGATCAAATTGCCAACATCCACCATATCATCGAAAAAGCAAGAGTTCCAGAAAAACATCTATTTCTGCTTTATTGACTTATGGCAAAGCCTTTGACAAGGCTTTGTCAAAGCCTTGTGTTGTGGATCAACACAAACAAAAATTCTGAAAGAGATGGGAATACCAGACCACCTGACCTGCCTCTTGAGAAATCTGTATGCAGGTCAGGAAGCAACAGTGAGAACTGGACATGGAACAACAAACTGGTTCCAAATAGGAAAAGGAGTATATCAAGACTGTGTACATTTAACTTAATATATATAAATATATTAAATAAATATCTTCTTTATTTAAATAAGTCATTTAACTTATATGCAGAGTACATCATGAGAAACGCTGGACTGGATGAAGCACAAGCTGGAATCAAGATTGCCAGGAGAAATATCAGTATCATCAGATATACAGATGATACCACCCTTATGGCAGAAAGCAAAGAACTAGAGAGCCTCTTGATGAAAGTGAAAGAGGAAAGTGAAAAAGTTGGCTTTTAAGCAAAAGTTGGCTCAATATTCAGAAAACTAAGATCATGGTATCCAGTCCCATCACTTCATGACAAGTAGAAGGGGAAACAGTGGAAACGGGGGCAGTGATTTTTTGGCTCCAAAATCACTGCAGGTTGTGACTGCAGCCATGAAATTAAAAGACGCTTACTCCTTGGAAGAAAAGTTATGACCAACCTAGACAGCATATTAAAAAGCATTTGCGTTACTTTGCCAACAAAGGCCCATCTAGTCAATGCTGTGGTTTTTCCAGCAGTCATGAATAGATGTGAGAGTTGGACTGTGAATAAAGCTGAAGGCCAAAGAATTGATGCTTTTGAACTGTGGTGTTGGAGAAGACTCCTGAGGGTCCTTTGGACAGCAAGGAGATCCAACCAGTCCATCCTAAAGGAAATCAATCCTGAATGTTCATTGGAAGGACTGAAGCTGAAGCTCCTCCAATACTTTGACCACCTGATGCAAAGAACTGACTCATTGGAAAAGACCCTGATGCTGGGAAAGATTGAAGGCGGGAGAAGGGGACGACAGAGGATGAGATGGTTGGATAGCATCACCGACTCAATGGACGTGAGTTTAAGCTCCTGGAGTTGGTGATGGACAGGGAGGCCTGGTGTGCTGCTGTCCGTGGGGTTGCAAAGAGTCAGACACAACTGAGCGACTGAACTGAAGATGGGCTAAGCTGCACTCTGCCCTTTTGTCCTTTGGACTCCACTGCAGGATTTTCAGAGGTATACAGTTTCAGATATTTTTTGTTTTGTTTTTGCTGTTTCCTGGTTTGTTTTTGAATATGTAACACTTCCTTGGTACAACATTCAAGTTGTAAAAAGGTATATACAATCATCAGCCATTCTGTTTTTTTCTTGTGGCAACCATTGTTGCCCATTTCCGGTGTATCTTTTCGGAGTCTACAATAGTACACATTTTATAGATAGTCTTCCAAAAAATATTCTACAGCCCACTTACTCAAAGTTTGTTCTTGATTAGCAACACCTGAGAGCTTGTAAAACATGAGACTCTCCAACCCAGTGCTAGATGACTATGTTAAAGTGTGAGAGGCAATGTTATGCAGCCTTCCATTTATAAAGAGGGATTGGAAGGAGGCAAGACAGAAGGCAAAGACTAGAATGTAAGGTCCCTAAGACACAATCTTTCATTCACAGTTATATCTCCAGCATTTGGCACAGTATCTAATATATAAGTAAATATTTTATGAATTGAGAAATCAACCCTAAAGTAAGACAATGGCAACTGAGAGGCAGGAACCAATACTGTCAGAATCAACAGGATTTAGTGGCTGTGATGATTAATTTTATGTGTCACTTTGGCTAGGTACTCAAGTTTTTGGTCAAACACTAGTCTAATTGTTGCTGTGAATGTATTCTTCGTTTGTAATTACCTTTAAATCAAGAGAATGAGATGGTTGGATGGCATCACTGACTCGATGCACATGAGTTTGAGTAAGCTCCAGGAGTTGGTGCTGGACAGGGAAGCCTCGTGCTGCAGTCCACGGGGTCACAAAGAGTCAGACACAACTCACAGACTGGACTGACTGAACCTTTAAATCAACAAACTTTGAGTAAACCAGGTTACCCTCCGTAAGGTGGATGGGTGTTATCCAACCAATTGAAGGCATTGGGGAAACACTGAGGAAAAAGGGATTCTGCCTGCAGACTGCCTTTGGACTCTGCAGCATCAGGTCTTCCTGGGGGCTCCAGCCTGTGGACCTGCTGTGTAGAATTGAGACTTGCCAGCTCCCACCATTACGTGAGCTAATTTCTGATTTTTTTTTGCCACGCCCACCCCACAATTTGCACAATCTTAGTTCCCCCGACCAGGGATTGATCTGAGCCCTCAGCAGTGAAAGCTGGGCGTGCTAACCACTGTACCACCAGGGAATTTCCTGTGAGCCAGTTTCTTAAAATGTTCTTTCCATAGAGACACATCCTGTTGGTTCTGTTTCTCTGAATCAACCCGATTAATACAGTGACAGACTGGATGTGGAGGAGGAGGGGAAGGGATCAGT